TCCTTTTCCCGCTCAAATGTCATAAGATGCTTTTTCTTAAATTTATTTTGTCTCAACCACATCCCTTTTGGTCTTTGCTTTTAACTCTGAAGCTTTCTTTTGGCTTCTCAGTCTCGGGTTGTGTTTTGCTTTGCTGGGTTTCGGTGATTACCTCAGCCCTCTTTTCTCTGTCTATGCCGTGGATGTCGTATTCACTATCTTTAAGTCCAATGCACTGTGTCCCCTCTCAGGGTCTCTTAGGAGGCACACCTTCCAGCCTCATCCACGTTACACTTCCTGTGATCACTTCTCACTCCGCATGCATTGTATTTTCTCGAACCTGGGCTTCATAGTAACCGAGCTTTCTCCTTTTATGCAGTACAAGTGCTTTATTTTTCTCTGCAGGCAATTGATTCCCTTTGTGTCTCTCCTACTTTTGTTTAAGTCTTTTAATTTATCCCAAGGTTATCTTTAATCTCTTCTCCGCATCTCGGCTACTTCACTTGATCTCAACATCTACCCTGTCTGTGTCAATAATATTCTGTTCCTTTGTTCCAGGTAGTTCACCAGATTTAAGACACTTAGTGTTGTCTCTTCAGGTAAGTCAGCTTTTATTCTTTGACACTCTTGAGAGATGTGGCTGTTTTTCTCCTTTATACAATTGTCCTTATTTTCTATCCTACCTTTCAATAGATGATTTACTTTCGTCTTTGCTTTCTTTTTCTTTCCATTTAATTTCTCTCTGTATTGTGAACTCTAGTATTTCCCATCTTAATTCCTTTTTATTCTGTGTCTCTTGTCACCTTTCTATCTGAGAAACATTACATTGCGTCTTAATCCTTCACATGTTGTTTCAGCCAAGTTAAATCATCTTGGCTCTCAACGGATGGTTCACTTTTCCTTTTAAAAATCACAGTAGATAGTTTTTTTTCCTACTCATTTTTTAAAGTGATGGTTCATCTGATCTTTCTGTACCTCGTGTCTTTTTAGTTTGCTTAAATTTAGCATCAGTCATCTGTACCCTTTTGCACTTTTCAGTGATTTAGGGATTCTGTGTTTCTTTTAAATGTTTGAAATGTATTGGTCTTCTAATTGATTCAAAGTATATGATTTTCTTACTCTTTAAATACTAAATTGCTTTAGTGATTAAAAAGTAATCTATTCAATAAATACTTAAGCACAGTAACTTACCAGTGTGGCAGAGACTAAGGGGGATACATGAGAAGTGTTAGAGGATGCTCAGTCTGGACCGAACCAACTAGTGAAAACTTTAGGGGAAGTTAGAATTCGAGCACATCTAAATAATTTGTATGTTTGGGATAAGGTAAGAGGAAGAGCAAATGCCAGGTACAATCTTTCTTTTATAGTTTAGAACAATTCACAGTTTTGGAGAAAAACAAAACTAAGGTGGTTAAATGACAGTCAGATGCTAATAGTCATGAGCATAATAAGTCCATTTGTTTTTTTCAGTGGGAAGATTGAGGAAAAAATAAAGCTGAACTGAAAAATGACCTCATTTGACCATTCAAAGCCTTGCTGTGATTTGTCCCAGCAAATGATTAGAGAGCTATACTTTTTTTTCTCTTTTTCTTAGATTTCTTTTCTTTCTTTTTTTTTTTTTTGATGTGGGCCATTTTTAAAGTCTTTTTTTTTAAATTTGTTATAATATTGCTTTTGTTTTATGTTTTGGTTTTTTGGCCCTGAGGTATATGGTATCTTAGCTCCTTGACCAGGGATCAAATCCACACCCCGTGTGTTGGAAGGTAGTTTTAACCACTGGATCACCAGGAAAGTCCCTTTTATCACTTTTTTTCTTAATGTGTAAATTATTATTGTCATGTTTCCACTTTTAATCTATTATGTTTAATTCATCATGCACTAATTTGTAAATCAATGAATATTGCCCAGTAAAATGTGTACATTAGCAGATATGAAAGGGACAGCTTTTAGGGAGTTTGTAGTCTGAACTGTGCAAGCCAATAGTTTAAATCTTGAGTTGATAAAGAATATACAGTGAAATGATGCACTATATGAATAATCTCTCAGGCTGTATGAATTCAGAAAATACAAAAATTAGTGATGATGGAATTAGTCAAGAAAGTCATTAGGTAGGTCCCAAAATACAATTGGGCCTTGAGGGAGGGATGGATAGGTAGAAGACAGGACGAAAGCATTCTAAGGAAATCTTTCCAAGTATCAGTATCTAAAGATAATTACATGTCTTGGCATAGGAAGTCAGTGGTTTATATGACCTGTATATCCATCCATTTGTTCATTTATTAAACCATCAAATATTGAGCATGTATCATATGCCAGATGTTCTTTTAGATTCTGAGATACAGTGATGAACAGGACAGACAAAATCTTTGCACAAATAGGTTGTGATGCATGGGGCCAGCAACTCAATAAAGGAAAATCTAGTTAAGAAAAGGACTGATAGTGGGGACTACAGTTAATAATAATGGATTTCCTTATGGCTCAGATGGTAAAGAATCTGCCTGTAATGTGGGAGACCTGGGTTCAATCTCTGGGTTGGGAAGATCCTCTGGAGAAGAGAAAGGCTACCCACTTCAGTATTCTGGCCTCTTTTGTTTTATGTTTTGGTTTTTTGGCCCTGAGGTATATGGTATCTTAGCTCCTTGACCAGGGATCAAATCCACACCCCGTGTGTTGGAAGGTAGTTTTAACCACTGGATCACCAGGAAAGTCCCTTTTATCACTTTTTTTCTTAATGTGTAAATTATTATTGTCATGTTTCCACTTTTAATCTATTATGTTTAATTCATCATGCACTAATTTGTAAATCAATGAATATTGCCCAGTAAAATGTGTACATTAGCAGATATGAAAGGGACAGCTTTTAGGGAGTTTGTAGTCTGAACTGTGCAAGCCAATAGTTTAAATCTTGAGTTGATAAAGAATATACAGTGAAATGATGCACTATATGAATAATCTCTCAGGCTGTATGAATTCAGAAAATACAAAAATTAGTGATGATGGAATTAGTCAAGAAAGTCATTAGGTAGGTCCCAAAATACAATTGGGCCTTGAGGGAGGGATGGATAGGTAGAAGACAGGACGAAAGCATTCTAAGGAAATCTTTCCAAGTATCAGTATCTAAAGATAATTACATGTCTTGGCATAGGAAGTCAGTGGTTTATATGACCTGTATATCCATCCATTTGTTCATTTATTAAACCATCAAATATTGAGCATGTATCATATGCCAGATGTTCTTTTAGATTCTGAGATACAGTGATGAACAGGACAGACAAAATCTTTGCACAAATAGGTTGTGATGCATGGGGCCAGCAACTCAATAAAGGAAAATCTAGTTAAGAAAAGGACTGATAGTGGGGACTACAGTTAATAATAATGGATTTCCTTATGGCTCAGATGGTAAAGAATCTGCCTGTAATGTGGGAGACCTGGGTTCAATCTCTGGGTTGGGAAGATCCTCTGGAGAAGAGAAAGGCTACCCACTTCAGTATTCTGGCCCAGAGAATTCCATGAACTGAATAGTCCATATGGTCAGAAAGAGTCAGACACGACTGAGTGACTTTCACTTTCACTTTCATAGTTAATAATATTGTATTGCATATTTTAAAATTACTAAGAGAGTAAATCTTAAAAGATCTCATCAGAAGAGAAAAAATTTTAACTGTGTATGAAGATGGTGTTGACTAGGTTTATTGTGGTGATCATTTTGTAATATGTACACATAGCAAATTAATATGTTGCATACTTGAAACTAATATAAAGTTATATGTCATGTATCAATTAAATAAAAATTTCACATCCCAAAGCCTACAGTGAGTAGGCGGGTTCCCTTCTCTCCACACCCACTCTAGCATATATTATTATTATTTGGCTGTGCAGTAGATCATGTGATACCTTAGTTCCCTGACAGGGATGGAGCCTGCACCCTCTGCATTGGAAACATGGAGTCTTAACCGCTGAACAGCCAGGGTAGTCTCCCAAAATTTATTATTTGTGGTCTTTTTAACTTTGGCCATCCTGCCTGGTGTGAGGTGATACCTCATTGTAGCTTTGATTTGCATTTCTCTAATGATTAATGATGCCCGTTGGCCATCCGTAAGGACATGAGACTTGAGTCAAGCCAAAGGACTTAAATGTGGCTGAGAAGGCCACTTGAAGATCATATCTGCGTCTGTTTTCCTCGCCTGCCCCCCCACCCCCATACTCCATGGTAAGTGGTGAAAGGTGGGCCTGGGTGTGTACCACACACAGTGAGTTTGCTTGACAGCTGTGGGTCTCTGAGCTTAGGAAACCTCAGTCTTTTAACGTGGACCGTAAGCAAGATTGCCCAAGTTTGCTCAGGAGACATTATCTTTTTTGTGTGAGTTTAATGACTCTGTTGTGTTTAATTCTTTGTGACCCTTTGGACTATGGCTCACCAGACTCCTCTGTCCATGGGATTTTTTCAGTGGGTTGCAACTGGAACTCACTGGAGTGGGTTGCCATTTTGTCCTCTAGAGGATCTTCCAGGCCCAGGGATCGATCCTGCGTCTCCTTCACTGCAGGCAGATTCTTTGCCCGCTGAGCCATCCGGGCTGCTGGGCAGTAAATAATCTGCCCTCTGTCTGGAGAAAGTCTTTATCTTCCAAGAAGATAACTGACATGTACAGACACCTCTGAGAAGGGATTTCAGGACAGAAGGCTGTCAGTGCCTCTGCTCTCAGATATGCAACAATGTGAGGAATCTGGAGATTTGTCGCCCATCAAGGGGGCAAATAAAAATAATTACAAACCAAAACTAATGTATATTTGACATATGTTTTGAGCTCTACACTGTACTGAGTATTAGTTCTCTCATTTACTAATCAAAACCATTCTTTTAGGTAAGTTTCCTTGTCTCCGTTTTACAGATGAAAGTAGATAGTAACCAACTTGCCCAGCATCTCACAGTTAGCAAATGGCAAAGTCATGATTTGAACTCAGATCTGACTTTTGAGTCCTACCATGTCCTGGTTCACAGTTTAGTAAAAAGAGTATAAAACATGTTCATTGGCAGCGGTCACGTGACAGGGCTGGGTGACCTCACTGAGTGTCATTTCAGTGGAGCCACAGGGGCAGAGTCCAGCTTGGGGTAAGTTGTAGAATGATTGGGAAGAGTATAAATGAGAGATGGTGACCATAAACAACTGATTTCATGCATTTTATTATAAAGAGAGGGTGGGAACAAAAGAATCAAGAAAAAAATTTTTTTTTTAATTTGGAGAGGTTTTTTTTTTTTTGCCTGCTTGTGGAAAAAAAGGAAAAAAAATAGCATGGAGTGCAGGAGAGTGCAGTTAACAAGAAAAAGAAAGAAACACCAAAGAAAGAGAGTTCAGTGCACTCCTGGGGAGATAGGAAAGCCACCTCCTCTCTTACAGCAGGGAGATTTTGTCGCTGTGCTGGGGTTGAAGCTGTTCCTAGCTGATGGCCTCTCTTTGATCTGCGAGGTAGAAGGGGAGATGGTCTGCTGAGTTTAAAATGCAGGGGACTGCAGAAAGTGGCCTGACTTTTGAGAATCAAGTAGTTTTCTGTGAAGGATGGGTGAGAGACTCCCCATTGAGAGACAGAGAGGATAATGTGAGTTTCACTAGCAGCACTTGAGTGCTATTCAGCTGAGATGGACAAGCTAGGCTGCTGGGTTTATCACGGTGGAGATTTGCCAGGGGGAGCAGAGGGGAAAGAAGGGTATTGGACAAAAGCGTGGTTGATGTGATGGGCCACGACCTCTAAGCTGGAGAGGAAAAGAAGCGAAGGCTGTGGGATACTGGTACATAAGGAGAAAGCATCGGGGTGGCCGATGGACTTCAAATCCTGAGAAGATCACCTCTGTGTGGTGAAGTAATTGAGTGAGCAAGCTGGAATAAGTAGGAAGTGGGGGGTCCTGTTTTTTCACAATGGAGTTATGTTTCAGTTAGTCATCAAAACCCGTAACCTCTGCCTCTTTACATCATGTCCAGAAACTTCTGATCATACTCAGGAGAGCTTAGGAATGAAGCCCCTGAACCTTCCTATTTCACTGAACAGATGTTGACAGTGGGCAGTGCCTACCGCAGGCATAAAGTACTTTGTGAGGTTGCCGGGAAGCCAAAGGCAGCCAGGATGGAACGCCTAAATTACAGGAAGTTCTCTGTCAGAAGAAACAAGGTTTCCAGGCAAAGAAAGTGTGTGTGTGCTCAGAGTACTGAAATACTAGTGTAGGGTGACTGTGGAGCATACCTGGGTTGATTCCAGGGCTTGGCTAGCGCAGATGAAGTGGAAATGAGCCTGGGCGTGTGGATCTGTCTTCAGGATCTCATTTCATTTCCTATTCCAGGCTATACTCAGAAGTGAAAGTGCTGGGTCTTATGGTAGTTCTATTTTTAATCTTTTGAGAAACTTAAATTTCCACATTGTACTCCCAAGTGGCTGAACCAGTTTATATCCCTGAAACAGTGCTTGGGCTTTGCAGGTGGCGTTAGTACCTGCCAACGCAGGAGATGCAAGAGATGCAGGCTCCATCCCTGGGTCAGGAAGATCCCCTGGAGAAGGAAATGGCAACCTAGTATTGTTGCCTGTTGTATCCCGTGGACAGAGGAGCCTGACGGGCTATAGTCCATGGGGTCGCAAAGAGTAGGTCACAGCTAAGCAGACATACTAGAGTGCTTGAAGGTTCCTTTTCCTCCACACCCTTGCCAGTCCTCGTTATCTTTTGGAAAAGAGACATCCTAATGGGTGTGAGGCGATAGCTCATTGGGTGAATGTGGTCAAAGGGGACAATGTTCCAGTTATAAAATCAATAGGATGAATAAGTTCTCGGGGTGTAATGTGCACCATAGTGGCTATAGTTAACCACACTGTTGTGGATATTTGAAAGCTGCTAAGAGTAGATCATCTTAAAAGTCCTCATCACATACACACACACATTGTGACTATGTGAGGTCATGGATGGTTTAGCCTCACTGTGGTAATACTTTGGCAATGTATGCAGCAAATCATTATGTCACACACCTTAAACTTGTACAATGTTATCTTTCAATTGTAGCTCAGTGAAGCTGAGAAAAAAGTGAAGTCCACTTGCTCTCTGGATTGGCATTAGATACAAATGGATAAATAGGTAAAGTTTTGATGGAAGTGGGGTTCGTTTTCATTTGCCTCTTACCCTCCTCTTCCCACTTCTTTCCAGTTTTGGGTAACCTTTCTCTTGATAGATACCCAGAGCACACTTACCCCAACTTTAGGGCTGTATTACTTTTCAGCTATAACTCAACTGGGAGATATTTTTCAGGTTTTATCTGTAACATTTGATTATATGGTGAAAGCTTCCCCTTAAAATTTGTCTTTCCTTGTAATTTTTTGTTGTTGGTGTTGTTGGCTTAGTACGCTTTTCAATGATAAAGATGATGGTAAAGATAGTTGTTTAAAATGTTAGCTTCAGTGGCATATAGTTGATTTATGATGTTAGTATGAGGTGTACAGCAAAGTGATTTGATTATATATATATACCCATTCTTTTTCAGATTCTTTTCTCGTATAGTCCATCATAGAAAATTGAATAGTGCTCCCTCTGCTATATAGTAGGTCCTTGTTGGTTATCTATCTTATATGGAGTAGTGTGTGTATATTAATCCCAAGCTCCTGATTTATCCCTCCCTCCAGCATTTTCCCTTTGGTAACCATAGAGATATCACTTTGCTGACAAAGGTCCATAGAGTCAAAGCTATGCTTTTTCCAGTAGTCATGTACAGATATGAAGTTGGACTATAAAGATGCTGAGCACAAAAAATTGTTGCTTCTGAACTGTGGTGCTGGAGAAGACTCTTGAGAGTCCTATGGACAGCAAAGAGATCAAACTAGTCAATCCTAAATGACATCAACTCTGAATATTCATTACAAGGATTGGTGCTGAAGTCAAAGCTGTAATATTTGGCCACCTGATGCAAAGAGCTGACTCATTGGAAAAGACCCTGATGTTGGGAAAGATTGAAGGCAGGAGGAGAAGGGGATGACAGAGGATGAGATGGTTGGATGGCATCACCAACTCAATGGACATGAGTTTGAGCAAACTCTGGGAGATAGTGAAGAACAGGGAAGCCTGGTGTGCTTCAGTTCCTGAGATTGTAAAGAGTTGGACTTTTAGCAACTAAACAACAGCCATAAATTTGATTTTGATATCTATAAGTCTGTTTCTGTCTTGTAAATAAGTTCATTTGTATCATTTAAAAAATTAAATTCTACATATGAGTGATATTATATAATATTTGTTTTTTGCTGTCTGACTTACTCAGTATGCTAGCCTCTGGGTCCATCAGCGTTGCTGCAAATGACATCATTTCACTCTTTTTTAAGGCTGAGCATGCTGTAGTCCATGGAGCTGCAAAGAGTCAGACACGACTGAGCGAATGAACTGAACTGACTGAATATTCCGTTGCATATATGTACTGTATCCTCTTTATCCATTTATCTGTCAGTGGACATTTAGGTTGCTTCCATGTCAGCTATTGTTAATAGTGCTGCAACGAACATTGGATTCATGTACCTTTTTAGATTGTGGTTTTCTTTAGATATAGGCCCACGAGAGAGTTGGTTGGATCACATGGTAGTTCTATTTTTAGTTTTAAGAAACCTCCATACAATTCTCCATAGTGGTTATACCAATTTATAATCCCACTTACAGTGTGGGGAGTTCCCTGCCCTTCATACCTTCTTCAGCATTTAGTGCTTGTAGACTTCTGGATGATGTCCGTCCTGCCTGGTGTGAGGTGACACCTCATTGTCTTGATCTGCATCTCTCTGATAGTTAATGATGTTGAGCATCTTTTCATGTGCTTTTTGATCATTCGTATGTTTTCTTCGGAGAAATGTCTATTGAGAACTTCTGCCATTTTTTGATTGGGTTATTTGCTTTTTTGATATTGAGCTACTTGAGATGTTTGCATACTTTGTAATAGTGCCTTCTTATAATGACACTGTTATAATGACAAATGTGTAGTGTCTTCTGATAATGATTAGAGTTGTAATTTCTGTCATTTGATGTTGTTTTCCATCTCAAATGGTACTTTTTTCAATCTTCCTAATGACCTTTTCCTTCTCCATTTGTCTCATAAGTACTGATGAGCTCCAAGTCTTGAACTCTGATCACCATTATATTATAGAAGACAGTTCTGGTTGCTTACCCATATCTATTGCATTTCCCGTATGCTGGTGAAATGTTCATTTTTTCCTTTTTTTTTTTTTTAGTGGCAAAACCCATTTAAACTGAGTTTGTTTGTCAATAGCTTAAAAACTGCTTCTTTTAGCCTCTGTTGCCCTGGGATGTGATCATGTGATTAGGGTGACCAACTGTGTCACATGGGGCACAGCTTTCTCTTTAAAGAGTGCGGGCATGCTCCCTTTCTCTTCTGCCTGATGAGATTATTGGAGTTCCAACCACCATTTGGAGCTTGGGTTGACCTTGAGGAAACAGAAATGAGGTGCTTGAGTCCCTGATGATGGTGTGAAGTCATCCCAGTATTACACTATAACCATTCTTCTGAAATTTTTTTCTTTTGCCCAGTCCCAGGGATCAAACCCAATCCTGGGGGTTAGGCCTTCCTTCTCTTCCCACTTCCAAAGTGGAAGGGTAACATCTTCCACTTGAATGACTTAAAATAGCACTTGGTCTTACATGGAGCTCCAGATCCTTGTGTATAGCTCTATTAGACAGCTCTGCTTAAATACTCCATGTGCCAAAGCAAAACTCAACGTCTCTGTGTGAAAGCATGTTCCTTTCCTGCATTCCTTTTCTTGTTATGTAGACTGATCTTCAAGGTGTACAAGACAAAAGTCTGCTAGTCATTTTTGCATTTCTCTTTTCTTTATGACTCATATCAAATTGATAACTGGTCTTTCTTCATTATATATCAAAGATCTGACCTTTCTACTCTACCTGAATGTGTGTTGGTTTATTTCTTTATGTCTCTCCTGGGCCATTAAATCATCTGAAACACTTCCAAAGTACTATACTGTTATTAACAGTGATGCCAGAATTACCTTTTTAGAACACAACTCAGGCCATATCTTACCCCTTGTTAAAACCCTTGCTATTGTCTTCAGAGAATAATATCAAATTAATAGGTCTGCAATGTGTTTCAGAAATGGCCAGCTCTCTCTCTGCCATATCCTCTTGTGCCAATCCACCCCATGAATAGTAGTGTCTTCTTATAATGAACAGACACGTTGGTCTAAATATGTCAGACACTCCCTCACTTCAGGGCTGTTGCGCATGTAGCTTCTTCCTCTTGGAACATCCTTCTCCCAACTGTGATTGAATGTTAGTCAAGATTTCCCAAAGCTGCTGGGCTCATGATGCTTTTAATGATTCAGTACTTTTTTTATAGTGCCTGTAGGTATTGATGCATATTTATGTCCTAACAACTCAGTAGCCATTTAAAAAAAGTAATATGCTTACGTTGGAAGAAAGGTAATATTTTACATTTCTTTTTAAACATTTTTATTTGAATATAGTTGCTTTAGAATGGTGTGTTTCTGCTCTACTGCAAAGTGAATCAGCCATCAGTTCAGTTCAGTTCAGTNGGAGCCTGGTGGGCTACAGTCCATGGGGTTGCAAGAGTCGGACATGACTTAGCGACTAAACTACCACCAATTAATATAGAAGAACAGTACATTTCTGTGTCAAGAACCACAGTTACATGCTGATGGACTGTGTGTGCCTGCAGATTCCAGACTGGCTGAATTGTCTGCATGCTTGGTATCTGACTTGTGAGCATCACTGTGTAACCCTCAAATATGGGACGTATTTTCTAGTGCCTGTGCGAGTTCACAGTGGTGACCCAGCTGCTCGGGTGCATGGATTGAAAACTGTGGAATCTGGTAGTTTTCCCCCTTCATTCATTCACTGAATAAATACTGAGTATCAGTGAGGTGTCAGGCACTGTCTGTCTCTGGGTAGGGTAGAGTCAGGGGAGGGGGCTGAAACCAGACATTGAATTGGATAATCCTGTAAATGTAGATTTTCACGGGGGCCAAGGCCATGAGGGGCAAGTTCTGGGTGAGAACTTGTGGGAGGATTTGACCTAGTCAGGAGAAGCTTTCTCAAGTTGGTTGCACTTGAGTTGTTCCTGAAGTTACTGTGCAGTATAAATAGGGGAAGGAACCATGTTCTAGACACAGGGATGGCAAATATTTTCAAGCTGATGAAGGACTGACTTTTTCCCCTCCTTAATTGCACTGTGATTTGTTTTGAGACTGGTTCTGTGGCTTGGGTGTGCCTGCAGGTCAGCTAGCGTCTGGACTTTTCTCTAATGAGACAAACCCACTGATGGTGCAGTTGAATGCTGATGTGAAACCCAGTTGCACAGAGTTTCAGTGTTGTTTTGAATAACTGCTCCAGTTGGGGAAACAGCATGAGCAATAGCCCTGTGATGGGAGGCAGCTGGGGGAGCCAGCCTGGGTGGAGCAGACAGTGGGAGGCAGGGAAAGCTGGGAGGGGCTGTGCTGAGCCTCTGCCGCTCCAAGGGGAATACGGGTCTCTGATGAAGACAGCTTGTGGAGAAGGAGAAGTTGTCTGGACTACTTTCTACTGATAGATTGTGACCGTCAATAGGCCAGGTACTCAGCTCCTAAGATTTGTTTGAGCCATTCAGACAACTATCAGTTCCCCTGTTTTTCCCCTGGATATAGACTCCAGTGGCATTGCGGCCTCCCAGAGCGAAGGGAATTCTCGCCCTGTTGTATGAAAAGTGTTCCGTGGAAGGACCCGCTGGAGGTTAGAGAGCTCTGTGAGCACCTCTGGTTTCTGGCTGGACCAGCCCCGGGGCTCAGGCCCCATACAGCTTCCAGGCTGCCCCGGAGTCCAGCCCAGCTTGCTGCTTCCGGGGTGTGAATTTCAGGTGTTCCCGTGAAGTCACGTCGAACCTGTTACCAGATTCTGTGTCCCAGCGCCTTGCTCTTCTCTGCCATCCTGAGGCTTATGTGTATCTGTGGGCATCGCACCATATCCCAAGTGGGCCTGGCCTTTGTTCAGGAGCCACGACAATCTCCGTTCTTGGCTTGTGTGGGTGTCTTGCAGGGACTTTTAGCTCTCAGCATCCTGGATTGGGACCCTTGATGTCAACAGAAGGATTCTGTTCCTCCTCCTCTTTGCTCAGAGAGAAAACTGACGCCCTGTGATCTCTCCTCCCAGGTACTTCGTGCTGGATTTCGAGACTGGCATCCTGCAGTATTTTGTGAATGAGCAGAGCAAGCACCAGAAGCCTCGAGGGGCCCTGTCTCTTTCTGGCGCCATCGTGTCCCTGAGCGACGAAGCGCCCCACATGCTGGTCGTGTACGCTGCCAACGGGGAGATGTACAAGCTGAGAGGTATGTTCACCCCCTGGGAGCTTTGCAGACGGGCCTCGTGGGCTCACAGGTAACATGGTGATGGCGCTCTGGTTTTTCAATTTTTTTTTAAATCACCTTTAACAGTTGGCCGTATTTGAGGACTCTGGTGACAGACACTGCCTCTCCTCCTCTTGAGGTGGGGAGAGGAGCTGAGATTAGGAAGTATTTGTCCTCATTAACCAAGGAATTAAGGACAAATGCAAGGTGAGTGATCGCAAAGCTGGCTGAACCTTAGGACTTTGGTGGATTTTTCATATTAGTTCAGTATAGATTTGCTTGTACCTTATATGGTGACTCTTCAGTACCCATGAGGCTGCTCTAAAGATAAAATAAGCCCTTTCCCCCCTTTCTTTCTATTTCTTTTGTGGCTGCACTGCATGACATGTGGGATCTTCCAGGACCAAGGATGGAACCCATGCCCCTGCAGTGGAAGCATGGTGGCTTAACCAGTGGATCGCCAGGGAAGTCCAAACAAGTCTTTTAGGGATCGTGGTGGGGATCTTCCTGGTGGTCCAGAGGCTAGGACTTTGCCTTGCAATGCAGGTGGTGCGGTTTTGATCCCTGGCTGGGGAAGCTGGGATCCCTTAGGCCTTGCAGCCAAAAAGCCAAAACATGAAATGGAAGCAGTATGGTAACACATTCAATAAATACTTAAAAAATGGTCCACATCAAAAAAAAAAAAAAAAAAAAACCTTAAAAAAATAAAAAATCTTTTATTTTTTTTAAGAAAAGGGTCATGGTGTCCTCAACTCAGAGCTTCTCTAGAACCAGCTGTTAGTAAAGGCCCCTTCTCTTCTACTTTATTTTGGGGGCTGCATCAAGCAACTGTGGGATGTTAGTTCCCTGACTAGGGATTGAACCCAGGCCCTTAGCACTGGTAATGCTGGGTTGTAACCACTGGGCCGCCAGAGAATTTCCCCTACCTGTACTTTATTTAGCCCTCTGTGGCCCCAGAGCCTGGTGAAAAGCCAACTGGTGTTATTTCCTGTTGTCTGCTATCTCCCCTTCTCTTTGCCTCTTGAAAGCTAGGAGCCCAGCATTTGGCCGCAGCTGGAGGTGCTAACTGGGGCTTCCCCGGTGGCTCAGTGGTAAAGAACTTGCCTGTGCAAGAGATGCAGGAGGCATGGGTTTGACTCCTGGGTTGGAAAGATCCCCTAGAGGAGGGTATGGCCACCCACTCCAGTATTGCCTGGAGAATCCCAGGGGCAGAGGAGCCTGGTGGGCTACAGTCCACGGGGTCACAAAGATTCGGACACGACTGAAGCACCTGAGCACACGCGCACACGGAAGAACTAACCGCCACCCCCGCCAAGGCACATCAACTGCACAGATTTTCAGATGGGGCGAACTTGTCTGTAGTGATGTGATTTGATTGCTAGACCATTCTACCAGCATTCTGTCACAGGTGCATTGCCGGAAAAATAGTTGTCTTCTCACAGAATAACAAAACCGACCCCCAAATGCACATTTGCTCACATGTGCGCGCACACGTACAGTCAGTATTGTTAAGGTCTGAGGAAAGAGGTGTATATTAAGTGCTGGGAGGTGGTTGGTAATCACACCTCATGTGTGTGCTCAGCCATTCGGTCATGTCTGACTTTTTTGCAACCTCATGGACTATATAGCCCACTAGGTTCCTCTGTCCATGGAATTTCCCAGGCAAGAATACTGGAGTGGGCTGCCATTTCTTCCTCCAGGGGATCTTCCTGACCCAGGGATCAAACCCACATCTCCTGCATTGCAGGTAGATTCTTTACCGCAAAGCTGTGGGGGAAACCCGTGCCTTTTAACGTATTTATTTAAGGGAAGGCTGAGTACAAAGAAAAGGCCCCTCATTCTTTGTGCTTGACCTGGGGGCTGACAGTGGTGGCTCCGCCTTTGCAAAACCAGGCTGAGGGCTTTGATTTCCCCAGCTCAGAGCCCAGTGTTTGCTGACTTTCCTCCAGGCTTTGCTACCAAGGGGTAGGCTAAGCTGCAGTTCCTTTATTATATTTTCACTTTATTTACTTTTGACTGGAGAAGACTCTTGAGAGTCCGTTGGACAGTGGGGAGTTCACGCCAGTCAATCCTAAAAGGAAATCAGTCCTGAATATTCGTTGGAAGGACTGATGCTGAAGCACCAATACTTTGGCCACCTGATGCGAAGAGCTGACTCATTGGAAAAGACCCCGATGCTGGGAAAGATTGAGGGCAGGAGGAGAAGGGGGTGACAGAGGAAATGATTAGATAGTATCACTGACTTGGTGGACGTGAATTTGAGCAAACTCTTGGGTACAGTGAAGGACAGGGAAGCCTGGCGTGCTGCTGTCGTGGGTTGCTGCAGTGAGTCTGATACGACTTAGCAACGAACAACAACTTTTGATCAAGCCGCGAGACTTGTGGGATATTAGTTCCCCCGACTAGGGATTGAACCCAGGCCCTTGGCAGTGAAAGCTGAGTCCTAATAACTGGACCACCAGGGGATTCCCTGAGGTTCCTTTATTATCTGTATACAAGTCATGTCTCAGGATCTAGAAAACAATCCCCAAAACTTATGAAATAAAAATGCCTTTAGTTGAAGAAAGTTTTTCAGTTTTGGGGAACCATGAGGAGAGTCGTGTTTTCTTTGGAGATTCATGCAGTGCATGTCCTGGATTTATATGGTCCTTGGCTTCGCTTTGCTGTTTATTGCTTAATAAATTGTCAAAGCAGAAACAATAGCAGGTGACAGACTTAATGGCACTCCCTCCCCCCAACCCAGGGCTGTCAGGGTTTATAAAAATGACACAACCCCATACAGAAGAACAGTCTAACCAGTTTGCCAATGGAGACATCTGTTTGCCTTTTAGCTGTTTTTCTCTGGATTATTAAGCCCCAAACTTTTTTTTTTTTTTTTAGGATAGTTTTAATAGCAAACATCAAAGTTTTATCATTTGCACGAACTAATCATAAGGGCTAAATTTAGCTTAAAGTTATCCACTACAGTAAATGCAGGATACATTTCTGCTGCTTTCCGGCTGGTCCTTAGTCCATCCCCCAAGGATCTGGGCATCGGTTTTTCTCATTTCACATCTTGCTACATGTAGAGATGAATCTTGATGTTAATAGATGCACAGCTTTGAGGAATGTTTTTGGGGCAGAGCCTTTGGGTACTGCCACAAACCAGCAGTGTTGCTGAGGAAAATGACTAGTTTGCAAAAATCCTTTTTCCTTTGGAGTTGAGGTTCACTGGGTCTACACTTCCAGATTTCTTCACCTGAAGCTGAATTTGGGTTTTACTGACAAATGATACTGAGGGTCATTTTTGTAAAAAGTACAGAGTTACAGGGGAATCATTCTGTTTTCTGCATAGAAAATGTTTTCAACATTTATGCAGTATTCTTTTAAAATATGTATGCAGTGAGTTATGCAATTAAATTAATTTGGATTTTATGAGACCCTGTTATGTATCCATGGTCTTTTAAGAAAATGAGTTTGTATATTTGAGAGATGGGGCTGTAGATGGAATATATTGATGATGTAGTTGACTTGTCCTTAAAAGTCTCTTTAGGGGACAATCGAGGGTCTCTGAGGCAGCATTTGGTACCTTGTTCTGTCCAGTCATAGTAACCCTTGAGAATGCCTATTAAAATGATAACTCAGCTGAATGCTTATTTTGTAAAGGCTGATAACTCCATAGAACAACTTCAGCAGATAACAAAAGGGCCCTGAAACACTGTACTCTGGTCCTCCTATCAGTCACGTGTGGTGGCAGCGTTACAAACAATCATGTTTGCCTTCTCTGCTGCTTTTTAAAGAAGTAGAAAATACTTTGGCATAATAGGTTAAAAAATGGCCAAATTGTTCTTAAGCATTTCAGAATATGTTATTAACGTGGTTTAAGAGGGAGTTTGGGGGTCACTTCTTGAGGGAAGCCTTCTTTAAGCACCTGTCCTAGGGCTATTTTAGGTACCCCACTATATATACTATATAATGAAGCAAGGTGTTGTTTATGTGTGTGTGTGTGGGGGGTTGTCTTTTCATTTTTGGGCTTCCCATGTGGCTCAGTGGTAAATCCACCTGCCAGTGTAGGAGGCACGGAGAAGCAGGGTCGATTCCTGGCTCAGAAAGATCTCCTGGAGGAGGAAATGGCCACCCACTCCAGTGTTCTTGCCTGGAAAATCCCACAGACAGAGGAGCCTGGTGGGCTGCAGTCCATGGGTCGAGAAGAGGCGTGACTGGGTGACCGAGCACGCACGCATACCCACTTTTCCTTTTGTTTACTGTTTCCTTTACTCTGCAAAACCTTTTGAGTTTAAGTAAGTCCCATTTATTTTTATTTCCATTATTCTGGGAGGAAAAAGGTCTTGCTGTGATTTGTGTCAGAGAGTGTTCTGCTTATGTTTTCCTCTGGAAGTTTTATTGTCTCCAGTCTTCCATTTAGGTCTTTAATCCATTTCGAGCTTATTTTTGTGTATGGTGTTCAAAGAATGGTCTAATTTCATTTTTTTACATGTAATTGTCCGGTTTTCCCAGCACTGTTTGTTGAAGAAACTCTTTCCAAGTTTAATATAGACTTGCCTTCTTTGTCATAGATTATTTGACCATAGGTGTATGGGTTAAGGTGGTTTTTTTTTTTAAATTTATTTGACTGTGCCAGGCCTTAGTTGCGGCATGTGGGATCTAGTCCCCTGACCTGGGGATTGAACTCCGGCCCCCTGCATTGTGAGCACAGAGTCTTAGCCATTGGACCACCTGGGAAGTCCCAGGTTAAGGTGTTTTAACAGAGTATCTTTGCAGCCACTTAGACATGCCCCACCAAAAAGCAAATTCCACGTCTTACCCTCTTCTAATGACAAGAAATCTTACTCATTTTTATTCTGCTTGAAATTTCTGAGTTTGGTGTTTATTAGTTGAATAGAGACATTTAAAAAAATGTGTTTGGGTAATAGAAATGCTACAATGTGGGTGAACCTCAAAAAATGTTAAGCTAAGTAAAGTAAGGCAGTCACAAAAGACCATATATGCATATGCATGATGCCATTCATATGGAATGTCTAGAATAGGCAGATCTCTGAGACAGAAAGCAGATTAGCAGTTTCCTAGGGATGGGAGAGGGGGTGAGAGGAGAGAAATGGGAAGAGACTGCTGATGGGAACAGGATTCTTTGAGGGATCCTGAAAATACTTTAAACCAAGATTATGGTCACAGTTGTACTATTCTGTAAATATATTAATACTCAAAATCACTCCATACTAAAGACAGGTGAATTTTTTATATATAAATTCTATCTCAATAAAACTGTCTAAAAATCTGTTAGAAATTTAAAAATATCTATTTATTTAACTGTGTTGGGTCTTAGTTGTGGCATGGGGCTTCTAGTTCCCTGACCAGCGATTGAACCCCAGCCCCCTGCATTGGAAGCCTGGAGTCTTAGCCCCTGGACCACCTTAGAAATTTTTGTAAAAATAATATAGGTGTACTGATTCAACCCAGTTCAATTGCTCAGTTGTGTCTGACTGTTAGAGACCCCATGGACTGCGGCATGCCAGGCTTCCCTGTCCATCACCAATTCCCGGAGTAGTGTACTGATTACTTTTGGAGAAATTGATCTGTATAGGCTCAATGAATTCCATCCAGGAAAATGAAATTCTGAAAATCCCTTTAAGTTTCTCAATAGAACTGTAGAAATTTCTTTAAAAAGAGAGGGGGAGATTTTTGGTTAAGACTCGGTGTCTGCTGTTTTTTTGGCTTGAGTACAATTGGTGTTTGCCTGGCCTTCCTTCATCTCCAGGCCCCCAAGCCCTCAGGTGGGTGTAGAAACAGGTTGGATGTGTTTTGGCTCAATTGCTACAAGGCGTTGTTTCTCTATTTCAGCTGCTGATGCAAAAGAGAAACAGTTCTGGGTGACTCAGCTCCGAGCTTGTGCCAAATACCACATGGAGACGAATTCGAAGGTAAGTAACTGCGGAAATGGGGGGCTACCGGGGGCAGGTTGCCCCAGCTAGGACGGCTCCCCGTCAGCCCAGGATCGGCTTCTCTGGGGAGCTGTTTTCCATGTTATCCTTACAGTTCTCCACCATCAGAAATTCACACTTGTCCCATGACATTTACATTTAAAGCCGAGAGACAGGTGGGAGGATTTGCTTATACGTCGAGTGAGGGGGCAGGCAGACACTTGATGGGAGCTGATTCTGGAAAGACACTTCTAGAGCTTTCTGAGTTGTCCGTTTAGGCAGCCGGTCGTTGGTCCGCAGAGAACTTGGGCAGGTGGTTTCACTGTGGCGGCAGACGCGTCTGGTTTACTGTTCACGAAGACTCGTTGTCTCAGATCCTTAAATAAGATGAGACCCCAGATTGTTGAGGCGCTTCTGCCTCTGAGTGTGTTAGCATGTTCTCGGGTACTTTGGCATCCAAGTGGGACTTAGTTTCTCTTCCGGATTCAGTCTGAGATCTTGGATCAGATGTGTAGGGGGTAGGAGGTAGGCGTTCTCGCGGATTATTCAGAGGCTCTCCTATCATTAAAGACAGAAAATAAGTCAGAGAAAGTAAAAAGCCATCGGATATTGCTTATGCGTGCATGCTCAGTCACTTCAGTTGTGTCTGACTCTTTGCGACCCCATGGACTGTACCTGCCAGGCTTCTCTGTCCATGGGGTTCTCCAGGCAAGAATACTGGAGTGGGTTGCCATGGTGCCCTCCACGGGGTCTTCCCTGACCCAGGGATCAAACCCACATTTCTTAGGTCTCCTGCATGGGCAGTCGGGTTCTTTACCACTAGTGCCACCTGGGAAACCAGATATTGCTTATATGTAGAATCTGAGAAATAACACAAATGGATGTATGTAGTAAACAGAAACAAACGGACATGGAAAACAAGCTTGGGGTCACCAAAGGAGAGAGGGGAAGGGGCAGATTAGAAGTGTGGGATTAAGAGGTATAAACATACACATAAAACACAAGCAACAAGGACTTACTGTGGGCGCAGAGAATTCACTGTCTTGTCATAGCCTAAATGGAATATAATCTGAAAGAAGCACTTTGCTGTCCACTTGAAACCAACACAGTACTGTAAATCGACTGTATTTCAATTAAAAGGTATAAAAAATAATGGCCTGATGAATTTATTCAGGGCTGGAAATATTTGTTAAAATTACTATTCAAAGGGCTACCTCTTTTATATCATTAGTTCAAGGTTTGTTATGATATTTAGTTGCAGTCTTTTTCTGTATTCCGTGCATCTGATAGGAAGACCCACGCTTGAAACTTCTTAGGATTCCATTTCTTGTAACCTCTCTGCTCATGGAAATGTCTTATATAGGTATACCTCTCTGTTCTGCCTCCAAACACAACCTGAAATGATTTCTTCACAATGATGTGTTCATTTTTTTCTTTCTTCTCCTTGACTTGCTTACTACAGCTGCACTCACTGTAATGCCCCTTTAGGCTTGCCCCCGCTGGGGTCTGGGTGACCATAAGGATGGCCTTTTCTCTTTTAAAAAATGTATTTTGTTGAAGGATACTCGATTTACAATGTTGTGTTACTTTCTGCTTTGCAGCAAAGTGATTCAATTATATATGCATTCTTGTTCATATTCTTTCCCATTATGGTTTTTCACAGGATATTGAATACAGTTCCCTGTGCTATACAGTAGGACCGTTTTTGTTTGGCCATCCTGTATATAATAGTTTGCATCCGCTAATCTCAAACTCCCCGTCCTTCCCTCTCCCACTCCCTACCCCTTGGCAACCGCAAGGCCATTCTCTATGTCTGTGAGTCTGTTTCTGTTTTGTAGATAAGTTCATTTATGTCATATTTTACATCCCACCTGTGTGACATCATATGGTATTTGTCTGCCTTCCTTCACTTTGTATGATCATCTCTGGCTCCACCCAGGCTGCTGCCAACGGCATTGTTTCATTCTTTATGACTGAGTCATATTCCAGTGTGTGTGTGTACACACACCACCACGTATTCTTTATCCATTTATCTGTTTATGGACACTTAAGTTGCTTCCATATCTTGGCTATCGTGAATAGTACTGCTATTCGATTTACAATGTTGTGTTACTTTCTGCTTTGCAGCAAAGTGATTCAATTATATATGCATTCTTGTTCATATTCTTTCCCATTATGGTTTTTCACAGGATATTGAATATAGTTCCCTGTGCTATACAGTAGGACCATTTTTGTTTGGCCATCCTGTATATAATAGTTTGCATCTGCTAATCTCAAACTCCCCGTCCTTCCCTCTCCCACTCCCTACCCCTTGGCAACCGCAAGGCCGTTCTCTGTCTGTGAGTCTGTTTCTGTTTTGTAGATAAGTTCATTTATGTCATATTTCACATCCCACCTGTGTGATATCATACGGTATTTGTCTGCCTTCCTTCACTTTGTATGATCATCTCTGGCTCCACCCAGGCTGCTGCCAACGGCATTGTTTCATTCTTTTTTATGACTGAGTCATATTCCAGTGTGTGTGTGTACACACACCACCACGTATTCTTTATCCATTTATCTGTTTATGGACACTTAAGTTGCTTCCATATCTTGGCTATCGTGAATAGTACTGCTATGAACATTGGGGTGCATGTATCTTTTTGAGTTATGGTTTTGTCTGGATATATGGTAGGGCCCCACTTTTAAAGCTTTTCTCCCTCTGGCCTCCTTTATTTTCTAGGAATTATAGTAGGCGTTCTGGACATTTCATCAATATTTTATAAATACCTTGGCGGGCCAGTATAAAGTTATTTTCTATGTATCATTTTACTTTTTGTTAAGTGGAACAGAAGGGGATACGATATAAAGGACATACCTTTACCTGTTGCTAATTGGAGGTGACTGTCCTTTGGTGAATTTAGGTATGTGTTAGTATGTGTGTGTTTGGATCTGTAGCTCTCAGGTGTTAAAAACCTCAGATGTTTTTTATACAAATGGATCCCATCATGCACACTGTGCTACATTTTCTTTTCATTTACTGATACAGCTTGGAGATTTTCCCCTGCTGGATATCTGCATCTACTACACTCTTGTTAGGATGGCCAGATGCTGTTCTGAGGGGTGGATGTCAGAGCTTTGAGTTCATCACTGATGGATGCTTAATTTGATTGTGGTTGTTGTGCATGATGCTGCAATAAACAGCTTTGGAGACTCATCTTCTAGAGCCTCTCAGGGTGTATGTCTGTGAATTTATACCAGTGGAAGTACTGGGTCATGGAGGATGTGTCTTCTAAATTTTCATAGTCATTGCTAAATTGTCTTCTTCAAAAGTTGTCCTGGTTTGTACTTCCATCCATTCTGTGTGTAAGGATGTTTCTTCCCCCTTTCACTAACCATAGCTCTCATGAACATTGAGTTTTTGGTAGTCTCACAGATGAAAAAAATAGACCCTTGTAATTTTCATTTTCACTTCTAAAATCATGACTGGAGCTGAGTATATTTTCAGGTGTTTACTGGCCACTTGTGTTTTTTTATGTAAACTGTCTATTTATATCCTTCACCCATTTTTCTGTTGAATTCGTCTTTTCTTCTTGATTTGCAGTAGCTGTATATGTGTTAAGTCTATTTGTCCTTTGCCTGTCATTTGTACTAGGTATTTTCCCCTAGTAGGTAATTTGTATTTTGACTTTGAATACATTCCTTTGCTATGTAGAATATTTTTGTAGTCAAATTTACACACATTTTCATTTTTGGGTTTTGGGTTTGTGTTGTGTTTTGAAAGAGCTTCTCTGTTCCAAAATTAAGAAAACATTCTTCAGTTTTCTTCCAGTTCATTTATAGTTTAATTATCATGTGTAAATCATGGATTCATTTGGAATTTATTCTGGGTGTAAAAATTGAGGTGGGGAAACCAGTTTTAAGTGGGTTGATGTTTTGAGAGATCACTGCAGACCCAGTGTTAGTAGAAATGGAAGAATCTGAAGATTTTCTGAAGGAGTAGCTTTAAGAATCTGGATTGATCTGTTAACATTAAAACCCAAGTAAATAATAAATTAGAAGTTAGGACTTGTAGGATTCCTGACTTGAGAACTGGAGAGAAGATAAGCTGTCACTGCTCATTGATAGCATAGCAACTGGGATCAATTAGGGGAAGAATAATTTTTAAATTGTGAGCAGACCTTGTAATGCACCAGAAGTATGATCAAGTCCAAGTCTGCTTAAGCAGAAGTAGTGAAAATTAAGTTAGGCTTGAAGTGAATATCAACTTGACATCCAGTTCACTGAAGGATGGCTGCTGAATTTGTGTCCTGCTTGCTGGGAACACAAGTTAAGCCTTCCCTTCCCTGGGTTCCTCTCATCCTATCTGAGAACACTCTCCATACAGCTGCTTGGAATTTTACCTTTAGAGACAAATACTGTGGGACTTCCCTGGTGGCCCAGTGGTTAAGACTTTGCCTTCCAGGGTAGGGGGTGTGGGGTTAATCCCTGGTTCAGGAAGCTAAGGTCCCACATGCCAGGGACATGAAACAGAACATAACAAAGAGACCAGAGCATAAAGCAGAAGCAATATTGTAGCAAATTCAATAAAGGCTTTAAAAATGGTCCACATGAAAAGAAAACCCACTTAAAAACACTTCACCCGATATCATATATTAATGCATATATGTGGGATCTAGAAAGATGGTTTAGATGATCTTATTCGCAAAGCAGAAATAGAGGACAGACATACGGACACCAAGGGGTGGGTGGGGGGCGGGGAGGAAGTGGGAGACTGGGATTGACATGTATACATTGTTGCTACTCTGTATAAAATAGATAACTAATGAGAACCTATTGTATAGCGCAGGGGACTCCACTCAGCGCTCTGTGGTGACCTAAATGGGGAGGAAATCCAAAACAAGAGGGGATAAATGTATACGTGAGGCTGATTCACTTTGATGTACAGCAGAAAGGAACACAGCATTGTCTAGCAACTCTAATAAAAATTTGTAAAAGCTTTTTTGATGTAGAATCAACTG